GAAATAGAAATATATATATATATATATATATATATATAAAATGACAAAACAAATTACTGAAACTTAATTACAATGAAACCTAAAAATATATAAATAAAAGCCAATTCAATATATATTAATAATATATATATTAATAAATACTATGCAATTAATACTAAAACAACACCGTTCCTATCAGTTTGTGGCCAGAATGTATTGCTAACCAGACTTTAAGTGATGTCAAAAGTCTGGATTTGTGAAAGGGCTAGTTCTTTCCCAAAGGTGTGCAGAATGCAGAGTGACGGTATTGAGTGTCCATGTCTCATATAGGTGTTTTTTCAGCAAAGTTCAAAGCTCAAATCCATTAAAATAATCTTAATATAGAGAAACACTAATTATAAATTCAGAATGCGTGCTCGTCCACAGTAGATCTAATATATATCTAAAAGACACTTTGAGTCTTTTCATCTAGTTTCAGTGAGAAAATTAAATTATTGTATGTGCTTTAATATTAAATCTCTGCCATCGCACCATCAAAACTCCCATAATTCATAATTTAATTCTATAATTTGTTTGTTGTCCAAGCCAAGACATTAAAGGAAGGGCTGATACATCATTGATGGAGTTACTGGTCAGACTGGGTCTTTAATTAATGGACTTTCACCACCCACATTTTTTTTTCCCCCTCTAAAAAAAAAAAAAAAAAAAAAAAAACAGTTTTCATCATAGATTCTGATTCATCTCACTCTCTCGCTCGTTCTGTCTGACTGTCTCGCCTCTTTAAGTCTGTTCATTATTAAGGCCAGCGCTACTTAAACTGAGAGAGCCTTATTAAAAATCTGACGAGTGTCTACCGTGGTCAGACTGTTTAATTCCCCTTAAAGATAATGATGGCTTTTAGAACAACAGAGGAATTAATTGAAACATGTGTTGGCTTTTGATAATGAACAAACTCATTTGAAGAGCTTATCAAGGCATCAGAAAGGGGCTGCTGTCCGTGAGAGACCTCAATATCTGTTGCTCAGTGCATTGAAGTCCAGAGAGAAAATAAAGGCAGACTAAAAAGATCTTGTCTTATTTTTGTGGTAAACTCTGTGGTCTGTAATTTGATATTTACTGGACTTTCTGCGTGTTTCAGTCCTGAGCAGGCCAGACTGTGTGATTTGGAGGACCAAGCCAAGGCTGCTAAAAAGGGTCTGTGGACTGAGGGTGGAGGCGCACACACCGTTCGAGATTTGAAGTATACCATCGAGAACCCTCGCAACTTTGTGGACTCCATCCACCAGAAACCAGTCAACGGTAAGATGCGATAAACTTTGTTTGTAGATCACATGTTGTACTCTTGAGGGCCATTACCAATGCTGGGGCTAACATCACTAGTGTTCAAGATCAAGTTCAAATTTCATATTCATGAATGCAAATTTACTAATAAAAAACCCCAGCTGATTTTAATGAGTGAAGAAATGCAGTACATTGACTAAATTAGAGTCTCTGAATCTATCTGTCTGTCTGTCTGTATGTGGTTAAAATGTTATTTATATATAAAATTGTGCTGTATTTAATGTTTTATTTTTGTTATAAACAAATAATCTACAAAAAATTGACAATCATTAGTATTACAAATAAACAAATAGGCCTATTGTGACTAATAATTGCAGATATTAAAACTTAAATGATCAACTTAATGTAATATTTTAAAATATCAAAAATATACACTACCGCTCAAAAGTTTGGGATCAGTAAGACTTGTAATGTTTTTTTAAAGACGTCTCTTATGCTCATTGTTATAAAAGATTTCTATTTTAAATAACTGCTCTTCTTTTTTACTTTTTATTCATCAAAGAATCCTGAAAAAAGTATTACAGGTTATAAAAAATATTAAGCAGCACAACAGTTTCAACACTGATAATAAATCAGCATATTACAATGATTTCTTAAGGATCATGTGTAGGGCTGCACGATTATGACGTTATCACAAACTCACCATTGACAGAAATAGTCTTCTGCCTTTCCTTTTGCATTGAAGTCTTTATTATAAGCAATCCTGCGGTTCATAAAGAACTTTGTTTTCCTACCTCCACAAGTGCATCTATTATTGCCTTGTTTATGTAAAAGTGCTCTTTTCCTTTAAAACTAGCCAACAAGCCATATGTGTTGACTGTGAAAGGCAGTATACTTTAATTATATGCATTTATGGTGCAATTGCTACATTTTCGTTTTCATATTTACCGCAAACAATGTGCGGTCACTTTAAGCTCGCTTATAGACAGATGCGATGTGTGGTGATTTGAAGCCATTTGCATATTTTGGGAGAGAAAGAGAGAGCGCGCGGTGATTCACTCACGCTGTTTGTGAGATTACGTCTTACACAAGGTTTTCAAATTACTTTGTAAGTTATTTAATGAAGAAATATGAAGGTGAGTACCTCACCTTCAGCATTATAATTATTTCACCCGCGCCGGACAGAGACTGAGACTGTGCCGCTGCATGTCGTGCCAAACCTCTCATGGCAGTGTCATCAGCTTGAGATCGGCGATCAATCATCCCAACGTGATTATCGACCGATTATGATCGGTAGCCGATCAATCGGAGCACCCCTAGAAAATAGAAACCATTATTTTATGTCGTAATAACATTTTGCAAGATTACTGTTGTTTTTCTGTATTTTTGATCAAATAAATGCAGCCTTGATGAGCATAAGAGACGTCTTTAAAAAAACATTAAAAGTCTTACTGATCCTAAACTTTTGAGCGGTAGTGTATATGAATTAAGTCACACCGGAAGTACTGGTGCCATATTTAGGGACCATAATACCATAAAGACTTTGTTTTCTTTTCACCCAGAACACTCTAAAATTATGGCGTGCATTTTCTTCAGACAAAAGCTGAAATTATGCACATTAAAACACTCAGTTCTCTCTGGTATAATGTCTCGCTCTTCTTCCAGAAGCCCATTTTTTTTTTTCTCTTCACAGCTCTGCACACAGCTCATTTCTCCTATTTAAACTGAATACTAACCCTGATGAGTTAACCTCTATCAGAAGGCTAGCCTGCTCACTGCAAATGAACAACTGAGTCATTAAATGCTATAGAAATGTGCCCCGTGTCCCCTCTTCGCTAACAAGCTTATTAGATGCTAATCAGAAGTCAAAGTTGCAACATTGTTTGGAATATTGAATTTAAACACACTTGGCCACATGACCCTTACAAGCGTGGCTGTGATTCACCTTCTTATCGAATTATTTCACATCTCTTGCTGTGCAGTAATGCCAAGTAATTTTTAAACATGCCATGTTCTCTTCAAAAGTGAGTACCATGCAGAACTGGAGAGGCCTGTTTACATACTGGCAGCTACCCACATGCTGTGACACCACGTGAACTTTCTGACACTTTGAATTGGAAAAACAAAGTTAGAATCAAATTAACATGCTGTATTGTCTTAGTTTTAAATATTAAAATAGTTGAAGAGAGAGTTCATCATGCTGTAATTTATCATTCTATCACCAGTATGGTTTTATTTTTTTTCTTAGACCACAAACTATGGTGTTTAATTTTGGACACTACCATTCAAAAGTTTGGGGTCAGTGAGATTTTTATGCATTATACTGATCAGAAGTGAGAGTAAAGACATTTATAATGTTAAAAGAGTTCTATTTGAAATAAATGCAGTTCTTTTGAACTTCAGAGAATTCTGAAAAAAACACTAAATTGTTCAAATATTTTCAAAATTGAAAATAAATGTTTCTTGAGCATCAAATCAGCATTTTAGAATGATTTCTGGAAGGATCATATGACACTGAAGACTGGAGTAATGATGCTGAAAATTCAGCTTTGTCATCACAGAAATAAATTACATTTGAAAATGTATAAAAATAAAAATGTTACTTCATATTTTATTACTGTTTTTACTGTATTTTTGATCAAATAAATGTAGCTTTGGTGAGCAAAATAGTCTTTTATTTATTTTTTTTTTTTGGTGACTAATTTTAATTGTGTGAAACAGAAGCAGAATCTAGATTACACTTTCAAGTTTTATACTTCATTAACTCTCTCTTTCTATCTTTTTCTCATATATCCACACAGCCATTATTGAACATGTGCGTGATGGCTGCATAGTACGGGCGCTGCTTCTGCCCGACTACTATCTGGTGACAGTCATGCTGTCTGGAATCAAGGTGAGTTTCAGTCCTCCTCTATGTAATTCTATGAATAAAATAAACCCAATTTCTTTCAGCAGAACCCTTGAGACCAATATTTTTCAGTTTCTCATTAGTTCATTTCTATGTATCTCTTGATGGGTAGCCTTGAGAGACTCCCTCTAGGCTTTCTTAGACCAGACCTGTTTCATGAATTCAGTAGACCATCTTACTGCTTAATCTTACTAATAATGAAAAAATGAACTCCATAACTGTGCTAAATTAAGTGTGTTCGTGGTAGAACTAGAGTTTTCACTCTGACTTTTGAGGAAAGGGTTTACATTCTTTGTAAAGGATGATTGTGATTTGTTTTCTGGGGTTTGTTTCTTAGTATTTCCCAGTAGATTTCAGACAATGTATATTTCCTGTAATGTTTATGAAAAATCTGTGTCTCCAGTGCCCTACGTTTAAACGGGAGGCAGATGGCAGCGAAACCATTGAGCCTTTTTCAGCAGAGGCAAAGTTCTTCACGGAGTCACGACTTCTTCAGAGAGATGTGCAGATCATTTTGGAGTCCTGTCCCAACCAAGTCATTCTGGGGACCATCTTGCACCCGGTATGAAGCCACATCATTCCAGACCAGCTTTCTGTTTGATCTCTAATAACTGCAGTTGAACAAAAGTGTAAACCATGTGAGTTTTTGAGTGCTCCTCCTAATTCAGATTTAGGCTAGAGCAATTTAGTCTTGATCTAAAATCTTAGTGCATGAGATGGACTTTCTCGGTTGGAAAACCTGGAAAGCAAGCAATACAGAGAGATGAGTTTTTGTTTGCTTTAATGTTTTGCTTTGCTTTTTGGTTTTTGTTTTGTTTGGGTCGCTTCGAGTACGATAGCCTGCAGTTTGTCTATAGACCCTTTTAGTGCTGAAGTCACAATTACGTCACCGCGCTAGCTGGAGGCAAAACAACCAATTCAAGCCAGTAGAGATTCGGCTATATAAGGAGCTTAAAATATCATCTTGTTGTGATGTTGGGTGCCAGAATCGATGGAGTACAGGCTCCAATTTGAAATTTGATCACATACCTGCTGCCATTGCCAGACAAAAAAAACGACGACAGCTGTAGTTAAACGTCAAATAACAATCGCTGTCATGGACAGTGAGTGACCTTACATATTCAGCTAAAATTGGATTTCCTCCGGTCATTGTTAAAACAAGCTAACATAACTTCATAGCTAGAGTTAGTGAAGTGGTCAGGGGAATCTTTCTGCCTCCACTTAAGCTCTGTCCACAGAAAAACGTCACATTGTTTACTAACTGAAAAAGGGTCTGTTACTTATTGTTTTTCGAACAATACCTGATATAAACGTCACTATCATTGTTTAAAGTTTTCAGCCAGCATCCACCGTTTTTAACATTCCACAACGACAGTGACGATCAAAACTTATATACCTAATGGGAAAGGAAGCATACCAGGTTTGACACCACAACAGAAATAATGCAAATTTATTTAAGTGAACATTGTTCCCTCAAACAGTTATTCGAGACAAGTAAATGGTTAGTTAGAAACTTTAAGAACCAAGCTGTATGTTACAAGCTGTAGAACAAAGTTAAAATAGATCACGGAATAATAGATCAAAGATGTAAATGAAGTAAACAGTGCGGAGATATTTAACAACAATATTAAGCATTCAAATAAACTTTCAAAAATCTGAAAGACTGAAATACGGGTACTTTTGGCGTCCCTAGTCTGTATAATTCAGTAAACACCAAGGCTGTAACGCATGCTGTGGCAATGTGGGAGGATCTACAGGTCCAGAATTTAATATATTATGCACATGTTTGTTGTACAGGCCCTTCAGTGCCAAGAATCGTTGATAAACTTAATTTATTCACTGCGAAACCGCAGGTATAAAGTCTCCTCGTGTCATAGTTCTTGCTAATCAGAGTGTCAGACATAATCCGTGTCATACAATGTGTGAGGATATTCTGCTCATGAACAATATTATACACATTAACCTTAGTGGTCTCTTTCTGTTGATAATGCCAGCAAAGCTTCACACTGTCAGTCTGTAGGTTTCCTCCCCTCCTCTTTCTCTTTTCTCAGTTTCTTATAAAGTTCATAGCTAACATGATATCCTATGCGTTTGTTTGTGTGGTCATTACAGAATGGGAACATCACAGAGTTGCTGTTGAAGGAAGGCTTTGCACGTTGTGTGGACTGGTCCATGGCTGTGTACACCCAGGGTGCTGAGAAACTCAGAGCAGCAGAACGGTCAGTGCTCGTCAGTCGGACAGTCGTCAGCCCTAGTTCACTATTCATTTCAAATAAGCCTGACTTTTGGGCTGTTGGATCAGACTGAGCAGCTTGTTAAATGGTTTAGACTGTCGCGGGTTGCTCTTACTTCATGTTTCAGCAGAATAGTTTAGCAAATGTGGCAACTTATCACATAGCCATTCATGAACACCTGCCCTGATGCCCACCTGCTGGCTTACTGAAGCATTAGACACAATCACAATGGAATATGATAGGAGCACACAAGGTTGTGTCTTTAATCCAATTAAGTACATATGCCGCTGTCCTTTATGCTGTGCTTCATTTTGGTGAAATGCCTTATCTCTCTCCCCCAAACCCTGCAGATCAGCGAAAGAGCGTAAAGTGAGAATCTGGAAGGACTATGTAGCTCCCACAGCCAATATGGACCAGAAGGACAGACAGTTTGTAGCAAAGGTGAGTTTTTGTTCACTCACATATTCTGTTTCAATCTGTGCAGCCTTTATGGTGATACAAGGGTCAATAACATGATGCTTATTTATCCAGCTTAATTCCTTCATTCTAAAAGAAATTAAATCAAAATAATGAAAGCCAAAACGAATGCAGAAAGTCTCATTAAAAGCCCTATTTCTTTTGATAATCTGTTGCATTGAAATGTATGTCATAATATGGAAGAAATTATCTGTTGCTACTTCTGTTTAATTACAACATTAAAATATTATAAATAACCAAAAATAAAACAAATCAAAGTAATGAGGAGCAAACGGCAACAAAAATTCTCAAAACAGGAAATTCGATCATAGAGTGGACCCCTGTGGACCCTCATGAGTAAACTTTTTTTCAATTTTTTTATTTATTTTAATTTTTTTTGGTAATTAAGATATATTTAGGTTTTAAAAGAAAAAAATGTTTTTATTTAACGGCTCCACCTCATGACATTTTTGAGTTATGAAATTATAAGGATTTATGTGTTTCTAAACCGTATAAAACCAACATGAATACCAAGAGGAAACATTTAAGGATTTGGTGCACTCTCAGAAATAAAGGTACAACAGCTGTCACTGGGGCGGTACCTTTTCAAAAGGTATGCATTTGAACCTAAAGGGTCCATTTTGGTACCTTAAAGGTGCATATTAGTACTTAAAGTGTCCATATTAGAACCTAATAGGTACAAAACAAAAGTGTACCTTTTGAAAAGGTACCACCCCTGTGACAGCTGTTGTACCATTATTTCTGAGAGTGTACGTTGTAACTTTTTATTTATTCTTTACCTGTTCTTGCCATTGACCCACAAAACGAGCTGTCAGAAATCTGAACCATCACACCACTAATTTCTTGTATAGATGGTGTTGCAGTTCTGAACTCTTCAAAAGTGCTTCTGATGTTTCTCATTGAAGGTCAATAAAACATGTTGATCTAAACTCAGCCCTCAAGCCCTTCGGCCAAACCCTTGATCTCTAGACGTAGGCTTGTTTCACTTAGAACGTCTAAAAATAACATAAGGAGAAGTCGGCAGAGTTTAGATCAACGCTTCCACACCAGCATGACAAAGCGTGACATTTCACCAGCTGAGTCCTAGCATGATAACAAATGACCGTCTCCACTCTGTCTCATCTTCAAACCCCTTTATCATGGGGCCTTCTGAAGAATATTGGAGCACCGCAGTCTCTTAAAGTGCTGACTGCGGTTGACGTACTCGTCTCCCTGATGCCTTGTTCTCTATTGTGTCTGTCAGCGAGGCAGGCCTTTCAGGTCTCAGGTGTTTCATTTCATTTTGCATACTCTGTAAAGTCAGCCTTGGGCCGTCTCAGCGGTTCTGTTCAGCTGCAGCCTTCAGCTCTCCCCCTAAATTACCACTGAATATCTGCTTTCACGACCCTGGCCTAGAATGCATGAGGAAAGAATAAGACAACGATAACTTTAAGGGTTATTTACTTATCTTGCATGTTAAAAAACAGTTGAGTCTAAAAGAGACGTCTTTCTTAATTTGCTAATGTTCAAAAGTTTGGGGTCGGTAAGATTTTTTATTTTATTTTATTTTATTAAGTTATCTTGAAATAAATCTCATATGAATGCTGATTCATGTTGACCTTAAGATTAAAGGGGTCATATGACTTTGCTAAAAATAACATTATTTTGTGTATTTGGTGTAATGAAATGTGTTTATGCGGTTTAAGGTAAAAAAAACCCCACATTATTTTCCACATACTGTACATTATTGTTTCTCTTCTATGCCCCGCCTTTCTGAAACGCATCGATTTTTACAAAGCTCATCAGTCTGAAAAGCAAGGTGTGCTGTGATTGGCCAGCTTGCCAGTGCATTGGGATTGGCCGAATGCCTCAAGCATGTGACGGAAATGTTATGCCCCTTAACATACTGTGATGCCGTCTCCCAGCAGGACGAGACAAAACCAATAAAACATATTACAAATGAGGCGTTTGTTGCATCCAGTGGGGACATAATTAGGGATTATAATGACTTATACTGTATTTTTATGCGTTGCGTTGCGTTGCGTATCACGCTGCGTAAACATAAAACCATGTCTGCATTTGTGATCGGAGAAACAACAAACAACAAGCCTACTCTGCACTGCCCAAAACTCGTGTTTGAGTAATCAGTAGCAAATTATTTAAATATAAAAAAGTACTTACAGGCTGTGAGTCAGAAGCGCCAGACTGTCCTTGCAAAGTTGGAACTGCCCAACTTTATAGAAACAGCCTTTGTGCCACAGACGCAGTGTAGGCTACTGGTTCAGGAAACAGCCTCATCCTCCATAAAATGCGCAGCACACATCTGAATATTTGGGTTGAACTGCTCTGGAACAGTGTTGTAAATACAACTTAACCACTGATTTCTAGTTGTGTGCTCTTTTGGAAGGCCAAACAAAGTAGTTTCGCTTTCACAACGAAACACACAGCGACTCCACAACATGGCATCGGCAACAGCAAGAATTAAAGTTACGCCTTCTTTTTTTGCATGAACATTTGGGTGGAGTTATGCAAATCTTCCCACATCGTGACGTAGACGTGGGGGCGTGTTAGAACGAGCCGTTTTAGGTAGGAATGGTTGACTCTTAACTTTTATAAAGAATATCTCTTTGGATTTGAGATTTTAGTCTTTGCAACTTTACAGATCTTCTTTATGCACCAAGAGCTTGTAACACTCCAAAGAGAAAGGAAAAATTTTAATTGCATCATATGACCCCTTTAAAGAAGAATGTGTTAGGTTACTTTTTGCAGCGGCTCTGCTGCTGATATTACCACATCAATAAGGTTTGTTAACTTTGTTTAAACTGCTGCCGCCTGGTCTTAATTGATATGTTGACACTGTGTGCTCTCTCCTAAGACAGCAACTGTGCTTTTGCAGAAAGTTTCTTTATTTTCCTTAAAGTAAGGTTGTTTCACTGAACTTCAAGACCTTTAAAATATTCATGCTTGGCCTTTGGTTATGTAAAGGTGTTGCGTTGCAATCTGCTTACAGAATTAGTTTCAAAATTCGCAGACACAAAAGTGTGTTTTTGCCTGAGTCAGAAAATACCAGAAGTGAAGAATAAAACATTTATATGAGCTTTAGCTTGCCTCAGATCTCTCTGAGCCGGGAGAGAAAGAAGATATACTTTGAAATTGTGCACGAGTGTGTTTAAGTGTGTGTGTGTGAGAGAGAGAGAGACTCATGAGAAAAAGCTACTGACAAAGGCAGAATGGCAAGTATTTGTAAGCTGTTTCTCCGTCCTGGCATACGGGTCTAGCTGTTTTAATTGGTTTGCATTTTCTGTCCTTCACATGTGTTCAAAAAGAGTTTGCCTGTAATAAAAACTTAGTTTATTTTAATTTAAAGATGACTGGAAACTATAAACTTGATCTGTAAGTAGATCTATTTACAAAAATTACAATTTTACAAAAATATACAATGTAAATAGCATGGTATAAACACTACTGTTGAAAAGTTTGTGCTCGGGAAGATTTTTTTCGTTGTTGAAAAAATAATACTTTTATTTAGCAAGGAAGCAATAAATTGATCAAAAGTGTGAGACATGTATAATGTTGCAAAATATTTATATTTCAAATAAATGCTGTTCCTTTGAACTTGCTATATATCAAAGAATCCTGATAAAAATGTATTATTGTTTCCAAGAATTACACTGAGCAGTTTTTGACATTGATAATAAGAAATGTTTCTTAAGCGCCAAATCAGCATATTTGAAAAAGTGTGTTTTTGCCTGAGTCAGAAAATACCAGAAGTGAAGAATAAAACATTTATATGAGCTTTAGCTTGCCTCAGATCTCTCTGAGCCGGGAGAGAAAGAAGATATACTTTGAAATTGTGCACGAGTGTGTTTAAGTGTGTGTGTGTGAGAGAGAGAGAGACTCATGAGAAAAAGCTACTGACAAAGGCAGAATGGCAAGTATTTGTAAGCTGTTTCTCCGTCCTGGCATACGGGTCTAGCTGTTTTAATTGGTTTGCATTTTCTGTCCTTCACATGTGTTCAAAAAGAGTTTGCCTGTAATAAAAACTTAGTTTATTTTAATTTAAAGATGACTGGAAACTATAAACTTGATCTGTAAGTAGATCTATTTACAAAAATTACAATTTTACAAAAATATACAATGTAAATAGCATGGTATAAACACTACTGTTGAAAAGTTTGTGCTCGGGAAGATTTTTTTCGTTGTTGAAAAAATAATACTTTTATTTAGCAAGGAAGCAATAAATTGATCAAAAGTGTGAGACATGTATAATGTTGCAAAATATTTATATTTCAAATAAATGCTGTTCCTTTGAACTTGCTATATATCAAAGAATCCTGATAAAAATGTATTATTGTTTCCAAGAATTACACTGAGCAGTTTTTGACATTGATAATAAGAAATGTTTCTTAAGCGCCAAATCAGCATATTTGAATGATTTCTAAAGAATCATGTTATTAAATGGTTGCTGAAAATTCAGCTTTGTCGTCACAGGAATGAATAGCATTTTAAAATATTTTCAAGAAAATGGTTATTCTAATTGTAATAACATTATTACAATATTACATTTTTTTTTCTGATTTGATAAGCATGAGACATTTCTTTCAAAAACATAAATTCTTACTGACCCCAAACTTTTGAATGGTAGTGTAAATATGAAAATCATTTAGTACTTTGGCATGTATCAGAAGTACCATACTAATTACCATGGCACCACTTTTTAATGTTTTGATGTTAATGTTAAATATACCAATATGAGGAAGTATAGAAAAAATGGCACTGTAAAGTTGATAAGATGTACATTAAAATATTTGATCCATTTAAAAAAAAAAAAAGTTTTCTGGCTTCTTGGTGTCCTTTTGATGTAATTCTAGTCATGGTCTGTAGGTGGCAGTAGCTCCCTGTCACGTTCAATGGGCTGCAGTACCAGAGTGAGTCATGGATCTGGGCTGTAGATCCCTGTTGGCAGCTTGCAGTGAAGTGCCTTG